TTCTCTTTCTACTCCTCGGCTTCCTTTTGCACAGAATGTAGATTAAAATGGCCCATACCTTCATGCCTAACTTGTCGCAGCAGCATGACAGGAATACTGTTTGTTGACTTTGGTCGAACATACAATGAACACAGCCAGACATCTCTCAGGAGACTTTACAGGGTGGCATCCCTCACTTAATAGATAACAGAAAAGAAAGTATGAAGGCCAGGGCTAGCTTTCAGCTTCTGCATAGAGTCTGAGCATCCATGTCAGTGTATTTTATCAAGACCACCAAGAATCTCTCCCTAATTGCTAAGCTTTGAGGTTGATAATATTTGAAGCAGTGTGAGAGGCGTTGAGAGCTTCGGAGATTCAACCAAGTTCTACAGCTGACTGGTGGCAATGCAGGGACTGACGCCCATGCACCTACCTCTGTTTCCTTTCACTGTTTCCTCTTAGTCTTCTTATCCCTGAATCTTGAAATTACTGATTTCAGTAACATGTGATTTACTTGCATTTGGAATTTTATGGTGTCATGGGATATACATGTACAATCATCAAGGAATTTGGGGATCTTCACTCTAAGTCTCAGCTCTGTCACGTGCTAATTGTGCTGCCTTTGACAAGTCAGTTTTCTCATCTGAGTCTCAATGTTCACATCTATGTAATGGGAATAATAATATCTGCGCTTCTGGCTTTTCTTGGCTTGTCACAAACTTTAATGAGATTTGTATGAAAGCACATTGAAAACTGTGCTATGCTATGACAATGTAAGACATTGTTATTTAAAGGGAATGTCCCCAGATAATTTTCCTGTGTCTTCTCTCACATATTTCTGCAGATCCCTCATCCTGTGTTTTGAGTTTTTCAGGGTCCCTTTTTCAAATCTCTGCCTTCATTCCTTCAGGATGCTGTATCTCTATGATAACTCTTTAAACCTAGCCTCTGACTAATAATTTAGTATGGGAGGAAAACTGAAACAGTCTCATATTATTTATTAAAATTATACCAATCTTTGAGAAAAATAGGATTACCTAGCAGAACATTATGTCAAGTACTCTCCAGTCCTGTTTTTTTTTTCTTTTTTCTTTTTTCTTTTTTTTTTTTGCAATGATCTCAAATGTTTAAGAGCTGTATAATAATTTTACCCCTGTAGGGGCCTGAGTCATTGGCATAGTCATTGCCACCCCCAAACATTTCCAGGTAAAAAATAAAATTATTTTAGAGAATGCTGGAAACTGTAATTGTGAAGATGTATATAGTTTGATATGCTCCTGGTTTTTTCTTCTATTGTGGTGGGAAAATGAAAGTATTAGAGAGACCCAAGTTTAAGTCTATGGCTTTACTAGGCACTGTCTGTGTGGCCCTTGGGTAAATAACTTGTTATCTTTAAACAGTGTTACTTGTTTTGTCTGGGGAGGGAAATAGAGTCAATAATGTCCGCCTGAGTGGGTGATTGGGGGTAATTGATTATAGTATTTGTTTTAGTTTGTATCTTTCTGTTTCATGGGAGACCACACAGGCACCCAAGCAAAGAGGTTCTGTTGCAGACAGTAACAAAGGAAATAGTAACAAGGTAAACTGTAATAAAGGAACTTGCAGATATCTTAGTAGGAAGCATGGTGGAGCCAGACCTCCTCAAGTCTAGAGACTGGACCATCTCATTCTGGGAACTCAGCAATGGGAGTCTGTAAAGCCTGGAGCAGGCTGTTGGGTTAACTCTACTGATCTTTTTGTTTTTTTCTTTTCTTTTAATTCCCCTACCTCTTGGCTTTTTCACTTAGGCTTCTCCAAAGCTCAGGTCCACTAGGTCCCTCTAGCTCATTTCTATCTTTTGACATCCTTCCTATTGCTAAGTTCTCTTGGTACGTGTTTCCCAGTTCATAGTTGGACTGGCTAATTTATTCCTATTAAGGAATGAGTTCCTGCCTAGACTATGAGTGGCCATTCCTTCAACACTGGGCCCACCATTGGTACAATCACCTCTCAGCAAGGAGAAAGAGATAAGGAGTTATCAACATGGCCTCTGAACATGTCCCTTCAGCCAGGGTGGTACGTGGGGAAGTTCCCATGAAGAGATAGTAGAGTGCATTACATGAGGGCTCCGGTTTCTAGACTTTGCTTGAATTCACATCCTAACCTTGACATTTTCTGAAGATGTGACCTTAAGCAAGTTACGTAATTTTGCTGGATCTCAACGTCCTGATCTGAAAAAAATGGGGATGATGGCTCATACCTCATGGGATTGTCTTGAGTCTTAAATAACAAAAGTAAAGCCCTTGTCAAACAGTTCCTGCCACAAATTAAATCCTTGGTAAGTGCTAGCTGTATCCGTATCAGGAGATGGTGGGTGGGCAGGCCGGAAGTAGAGACAGGTCTGACACAACATGGGAGGGTATTTCATTAACAACTGTTTATCTCCTCTCTGTGTGGAGATAAACTACACTCATATGCCTGCTTCCTGAGTAAAGGTGGCAATTTCCGTGACCTGACAGTATCACCAAATGCCTCACTGAGGGAGGAGCATGCTGCAGGCTTTATAAGTCAGTATTAGCCCTTCTCCCTGGGGTTTAAGTGGCTGGTCTCAATTTACAATCACCAGGCCCAATGCATGCTGATGGCGATTAAAGTCAGCCCAATTGAGCAGCGTAGTAAGTGTCTGGGATGAGCCCTTCTCCAGGGGCTACCGTGTTTGCAGAATTGTCAAGTAATTTTTTCTGGTATTTCCTTACCAGGCTATTGGGAAATCATTGCCTTTCACTTAAAGGTACATACAGTGAGCTAACATTATGTGTGAAATGAGAGGGAGCGCTTGATTTGGGGTGTAGAAATTTTTCTGTTATTGTTATATAGTGATGCTTTATTTATTTGGTTGTGTAACAAAATGGGCCATTTCATAGAACTGAAGTTCAGAGATAGCTGAAGCTTTACCATGCCAGCTCTGAAACAATTGTTAACCTTTTAAAAATGTTTTATTTTATTTTTATTTATTTAGTTTTGTTTTATTTATTTATTTTGTACAGGGTCTCACTATGTTTGTTGCCCAGGCTGGACTCAAGTTAATTCCTGAGCTCAATCAGTCCTCCCCTCTCATCCTCCAAGTAGCTGGGACTGTAGGCACAAACCACCATGCCTGGATAACTAACCCTGTTTTAATGGGAATCTTCCTAAAATGTATCATACACTTCTGCCTTCTTAACTGAAGATGTGACTCTAAAAGCTACCATTTATTAAATACTTTCTATGTATTTAGCATCATGCTTAAGTGCTTTACTCTCATTAATTTTCATGACAACCCTTGAAGTTGATACTGCTGTAAAAAGAGGTGGAGGAATTCAGTACCTTATTCAAAGTTACATCAGTAGAAGTGATAGAATTAGGATTTGTACCCAGGTCTCCTCAAGCTCTTAAGAAACTAGCCATGTTATTGGAGAACATTTTGGTTGACAAATGACCTGAATCACTACTGACCATCAAAGTAAGACTTTTGGGAGGCTACACATACAGTTCAGAAATGTATCCATTACTCTGAGAATGCCTTGGGTACTTTTTAGAAGTAATTAGTGCTCAAACTGGCAACACACATTTTAGAATATCTGTGACTATTTATTCAGGAGATGTTAGTTGAGCACCTACTATATCACTTTGGGCCGGTCACATGCCATGCATTCTAGAAGCAAAGAAATATGAGACACGCAGCTGCCTTCAAGGAGAGCCTGTTTTAGAGAGACATCAACTGGAGTAATATGTGAAACTTGACTGATTCATGGTCAGGACAACTTTGAGAAGGTGGTGACTTTTCAACTCACTCTTCATGGAAGTCACCTCCTCATCTTTATCCGGTGTCTGTGAATGAGAATGATGAGTGAGACCAGGGCATGGAGGTGGAGCCCGATGCATCCTTGGCTCCAAAGAGGCCAAGGAACGTACTTGAGAAACAGTTCAAGTCATCTTGCTCAGAAAAGAAGCTGTCGCCAGTTGCTAATGGGTGTTGGGTTGACTAAGGAGTTTGTTTTCTATAACCCAAGTCTTTCTTAGATGGTGGCTTATAAAAACAGGAAGTACTTTAGAACCCCATCTGCTGGGGGAAAAAAACAATTCATGTTCAGTGGGATGTGGGTTTTCCCACGTGATTAGTAAACGGGTGTTACATGTAATTCCCAAGAGTGGTTCTGAAAAAATAAAAGAGTTTGGAGCATTGGCAGCATCAGTGGAATCAAGTATGTGGTTTTCCATGGCAATGGCTTGGATGTGTTTTAACGATCATTTTCTTATTTCAAAAGTAATGTGTTCACAGAAAATACCTACTAGTATCTCTCAACCAGAGACAACTTTGATATTTGAAACAGACACTCCAATATCCCCGTAACTGTCAGCCATCTCTTTGACCTGTCTCCTTGAGTCATCCTCCTCTAGCAGGACATAATGCAGTCTCTTGATGTTTCCTATTTACCATGATGGGTGCTGTTTAGGCACAGTACTGGCAGAAATGTGGGTGATGATTGAGGAGAGATGGGTGATTGCTTTTAGGTCTTCTTTTTCTTTCTCCTTTTTTTCATACATTAGCTGGTGGCCATTGTGTCTGGCTGTTTTCCACGTGTCTGTTTATAACATCTTCCTAGTATATATTTCACCCTTGATTAAGTGCTAGAATGGTCTAATGATCAAGCTAGTCAATATGTGTTTTTAAAGTAAGAGTAAAATGCTGTTCTGCGAGATACTAAAGGGACCCTCTTTTGAATTAGTGTAAACTTTGCAACTATGACTGTCATTGCCAGAAAAGAGATATTCAATTATCTGCATAGAGATAATTGAATTTTGCTTTATTGGTAGCATCTAGCTAAGTGGCATTACTCTTAGGGACACTTTGCCAGAAAGATAAAAAAAAAGGGGGGGGGGAGAGAAGAAGGAAGGAGGGAGGGAGGGACGAGAGTAGGAGAAGGGAAGAACAGAAAAGGCCAGTACTTTAATATGGATCTCATTTTGGATTTCTTTCTTTTCACATTTGCTCTTCACAGTGGTTTAAACTTCATTGACTTGATGGTTCGACAGGGGAATATTGACAACCCTCCCAAGACTCCCCTGGTGCCGGGATTTGAGTGTTCTGGGATTGTCGAAGCTCTGGGAGACAGCGTGAAAGGATACGAGGTAATGTTTTGACTGTGACTTCAAGAGTGATGTTCATGTGGAATCCATTGAGATAATAAAAGATTATGCCAAAAATATTTGAAATACCCTGTGATATGTATCGATATAGTTGTCTTATTATTGAGTTTTATGAACAATGTTTGGAATGCTAAGACTTCCTAAAAGTCTCATGCCTTTCTCATGTCCTACCTTGGTTGCTCCTGGCAACAGCCTAGCAAAGTGGGCGGGGCAAATCTCATCTTCCCCTTTATTTGTGTTGTGCTGCTATTAAAGAAGAACATTTGGCTTTAGATTAACTATGTGTGTATAGAACCCTCCACCATTCAGGCTTCCCATTTTCCTATCACCTTGTGCTCAAAATTCAATTACAAAACACAAAAGTTCGGGGGAAATAGCCTCTGTATTTTATAATTTGGTTCCTTTATGTATTTACTTAACTGATACATTTAAGTGATCATTTACAAACACCTAACTATTTCAAGAATTGGGGAAGTAGCATTTTGAGATGAAGAAGATCAGCAAGTCAAAGAGGAGAGAGGTACCCGACAATGAAACAGAATTAGCCGTGAATTAATGGCTTTGGGAGTAGGACAATGGGTAAAAGGGTCTATGACATTATCCTGACTCCTTTTGTACTTGTTTGAAATTCTCTGTAACAAAACATTTAATTTGTAGAAAGATGTATGACCCTTCCTACCATTATAATACAAGTTAAATAGAAACAGCTCTATAAACACTGAACACTGTGGGCAAACCAGTTGCAGAAAATTGCAGTAGTTTGGAGTCATAAAACCAATGCAAATCAAACACAAGAATTCTCACTCATAACTGAATGCTCCCCTGGTGAGGAATGAACATTCTAGAACCCACTCTAATTAGAACCATGGGGAAGTTATCTCTTTTTTTCTTTTCCAGCCTCACCGTAACCCTACAAGATAAACATTATTACTGTCTCTTTGCAGGTGAGATTCAGGAGAGTTGAGTAATTTTCTGAGAGCTCAGAGGGGTAGTAAGCACTAGTAGAACCTGGATTCAAGTGCCCAGAGCTTTTTTATTATTCCTACAGTCTCATAATCTTTAGCCTTGCTCCCAGCCCCTAAATGCTGCAGGAAAGGAGAAATGAAGAAAAATCCTATAAACTGCAATGCCAAAATGCCCTTGAAATTGAATTGGAGCCCGCTTCTTAGTCTCAGTGTATCTAAGCCTCACTATGCTCTGAAAACATCAATATGTTCCAAATTCATTATGATGAATGTCTGTCTGGAAATCTCATCCCACTTATCAGTCCTTTTTGCCAACGGTTTCCAGATAATACAGCAGAAAAATGTTGAGAAAGAAGTAGTAAATGAGCTTTTTCTTTTCTTTCATATGCATTTACATTTTCTGTCCCTAGGTAAGCAATATAACCAGGAGCACGCTATCTCACCCTAAAAGAGCTGCAAATAAGAAAGATTATCTGCTTTCCCCTGTTCCACGTAGCCCCAAAAGAGAAAAGCTCATACTGCTCACTGCAGTAAACCTGAGCATTGAATAAATAACCAATTATTTTAGAATATAACAGGAAACAGGGGCATTGTTGGACCTGGTTTAGAGGGAGAACATCCTATACTTGATCACGTGTGTTTTTCCTTTAAATATGATTTATCTTCCTCTAGTTAGCACTGGCTTGTTAATTATCAAACCCACCCTTCCAACTCTCTCCTCTCCAGTGACTGCACAAACAAACAAAAGAAGTCACCTACACATTTCCAATTAGGGTATGACAGAGGAAAGAACCGGTAGTAATATCTATCTCCTCTATAATTTTGACTTGAGATTGTCAGTTGTGTTGGAGATACAATTGCATGTAGTGGCACACTGAATAGCTCTCTTGGTTTGATGGATTGCAAAGGAGGATTGAAAAGTCATCACAAGTAAAGGAATAATTTTCCCAGGACTGAGTTATTTTCTTAGCAGATTCAAATAACAGGGTGAATCAGGTATTCTTTTAGAGGTGTCTACCGCTAAACTCTGAGGCTGGCGCTCATCCTGCGGCTTAGACACATTTGCCATTTTGATAATGAAATGGAAGCAATGGGGCCAAGTTGAATGAGAGACCTGGGCGCAGTCTGCCCTGCAGTGGCAGGCTGCACTGTCCAGGTGCCACCAGGTGCAACCACCGTCCAGGTGGTTGAAATACTCTAGTCTTTACTCTCTGTGTTGATGCCAGAGGCCATCAGCTACTCTATGGTATTGAATTTGTGTCTTTGGGGTTTCCTGAGTCTGTAAAGAAGAGGATGCTAGTGTTAGAGACCCTTCTTATCCTCTGATGCAAATCCTTGCATTGAACATGAGATTCCTGACGCTCATCACTTGGTCTTGAATCCTGCGAGGGACTGGGACACTCAGTGCCAGTGAGATAACCTCTCTTCTCCCTCAGTTTCTTTATTAGACAGCTGTTTCTTCTGCTCTATGAAATACAGCTAGTCTCTGCCTAGCTGTTGATCACTGAACTAGGAATTCCATGAGGTCAGGAAACAATGTGTTCTTTTAAAGAGCTAACATGCATCGCTCTTTCCTCATATTCCATGCACTGTGCTGAATGCATTGCATGTACATTATGTCATTTCATCTTCACAAGGACCCTTTACTAATATTATACCCATTTCAGAGCTGAGGAAACTGAGAACTAAAGAGTTCAAACTAATATTCCCAGACTTTGTAGGTTCCCCTGTTGTGCAGCCTTATTTTGCAGCTAACTTTGTCCTTGTAGCACTTATCTCAGGTGTAATGAATTAATTATTTATCTGGAGTCAATTTATCTAGATTCAAATCCTGGCTTTACTACTCTCTAGCTCCATGACCTTGGGTGATTTAATCTCTTTAGCTCAATTTAAATGTCTGTAAAAATCTGTGATCATTCATCTGTAATATGGAGCTGTTACAGAACCCATCTCATAGGAAGATTTTTATTGTTGTTAGGTAAGGGTAGAAGAGAAATGCTAAGCTACAAAGAAATTAAAGCAGTAGAATCAATTTTAAGAAAAGCAAGCACCACATGTACTCACAGCAATTTAAATAATACATTTGAGAGCTGTGATACAAGCAGCTTACATATGAAATAGCAGAATGGCTCAATGTAACTTGTACTTGGCAGCTCATGTAAGCTGTTAGTATGAATTCACATATTTGTATTCACCTTTGATAATGGTATGCTATGGAATAAGATCACAAGTTAAAGGGTAGAGTGCTTTCTTTTTGGTTTGGGGGGATTTTTCTGCATAGTGTCTTGCTATGAAAACTGCTAATAAAAAGAACACAATATTCATCTATGCCTTCATAGGATTTTTGTAAAAATTTGGTGAGTTGCCGGATGCAGTGGCTCACATCCATCATCTCAGCACTTTGGGAGGCTGAGGCAGGAGGATCACGAGGCCAAGAGTTTGAGACCAGCCTGGGCAATACAGCAAGACCTGGTTTCTACAAAAAAAAAAAAAAAATAGAAAAATTAGTCAAGCGTGGTGGCGCGTGCCTGTAGTCCCAGCTACTTGGGAGGCTGAGGCTGGAGGCTCGCTTGAGCCCAGGAGTTCCAGGTTACGTGAGCTATGAGCCACTGTACTCCAGCTTGGGTGACAGAGTGAGACCCTGTCATCACTCCACCTTCACGATGAGCCCTGTGAGAGAGGCAGGACCATCTCCGATCTACACTCCCTGAGAAACAGACAGGTTGAGCACCTTGCCTATGGCCACACAGCTCAAAGGCAAAGAACGAGGAGGTTTGAATCCAGGTTCAGGGCACTGCAGCCATTTATTCCATGGTTTCAAGAGGACTGAGGTGGTCTCCCATACCTGGGAAGACTGACTTTTCACCTGCAGCCAGGAGGAGATGACAATAGATATGGCAAGTCCTAGGGTTTCCTTGATTCTCCCTATACAAAAATATTAGCAATAAGACGACTCACCATGACCTTGGCTGAGGCTGCTGCCAGCTGCATGAACCAGTGCTGCCTTAAAATCCCCCTAAAATCAGTGAGAACACACATTTAACTGAAGACCAGCTCCAAGCAGCCCCAGCCCCGTCAGAGTTTCCTGGAGTTCTAGTTCATGCAGATACCAATTTTCCCTTCATACCCAGAGGTACATCCTATGAAACTTTTGGAGACTTCTCCAGGAATGAACATCTTCCCCTTCCCCATTTCTCACCCATGGAGAAGTTAGACAAGGTTCAGTTACACCTAATCCTCCATCAAGCCACCACTCACTATGTGCCGAGCACTGGGCCATGCATTGGGAATCCATGAATCAGTAAGTCCCAGTTTCTGCCCCCTGAGAGCTCCCCATTTAAAGGGGGCGCCAGCCACATAAAATAACCCAATATAATGGGACCAGTGTGATGATGAAGGGTCGTGTAAGGAATCAGGTGGAATTCTATTGAAATCCTGTTTTCACCACTTACAACCGTGTGGTCTTGGGCAAGTAATTTAACTTCTCTGAGCTTCGGTTTTCAGTCTGCAAAATGGGGACAAAAATAAAAGCCACTTTATAGGGTTGCTGTGAAGATTAATGAATGTACTAACCTTCGCTGTATAACTAGCGCCAGCCCACGGGGAGCACTCAGTAAATATAAATACTAGTAACACCGAGAAGAGTTGCCAGTTCTGCTTTTGTAGGGGGAAAGTTGGTCATTGGGGAAAGTTTCAGAGAAAAGGCAATGTCTGAGCTGAGCTTTGAAGGAAAAATAAAAGATTTTCCAAAAGTAAAGCAAAGAGAAGGGATGCCAACTGTACACACTATGGGTGCAAAGGCACAAGGGTGTGAGCATGCACTTCCCCAGGTTTTTCTTGATGATTTTCCAGTATACACACCTGGGAGACTCAGAAGGTACTTGGTACCAGACAGGCACGGGGGCCAAGCCTTCCCTTCTCCTTTTTTCACATTGTCTGAACTTCCATCCCTGCTGCCACTTTGTTATTGTTGGCTAATGTTTTATTTTTACTTGTCTGCTCTCTGGGACAGACTGCTGCCACAGCCAGAGTGGAGAGCCACCCCTTCCAGTATCTGAGAAGTCTAGGGTCATTTAGGGACTAAATTGGGAGGAGAGAGAAGGAAGGTGGGAGCTGGAGCCGTAGATCACAGGCAGATGAGTCTAGATAAGATTCTCCCTCTCTAGCAGCATCAGGGAAGATATAGGGAAGGGAAGACCTGCCTTTGTTTATGCCAAGCTTCCCAACGATAAGGAAAGGAGATGTGAGGAGACAGTGGAAAAGTCCTCCCTACCCAGCTATCAGGGCATCATGTTGATTAATTGCTTGCCTCTTTCTCAGAGCGAGCAGACCAGGCTCTGCTTTGCTCCTGCTGCTAGCAAGAGAGCCCCAGAAGACATGCTTGGACAGAGTAATTTGATTCAGTGGTTCAGGTGTCTTTCCTGAATTAGGCTAACCCAAGTCCTGGCAGGGATGCCCTGGCAGCTGGAGCAGAGGTGCCCAGGCTCAGAGCACTGTGGATGCTATCCCCAATTGTCCCCCCATTACCCAGGCCTGAACAGTGTCAGGATCAGTCCATTATCTTTCCTCTACCTTGTCCCCTGGTCCTTGTAGACACTGCCAGCCATATACAACAGAGGCTGTCATAGCTCTATTCCAATATACACAGACCTGGCTAAACTGGCAAGTCCCCAAAGCTGTATGGAGCTCATTTCCAGGCTCCTGTGACATTCCTTGGCCCCACCCACCCTTCCCCACATACAAAAAGTGAAGTGTAATTTGGGGGGGGCCATCGTCTGAAACATCACCATCATAGTTTCATGCCTTTGGCTTAAGACTGCATTCTCTACTAAAATATCCCTTCTAAGTGGATTTGCCTCTAAGCTCTGTCACGCATAGTACTTGCCACATGAAAATTTCAGGGAATGTGAACAATTTCAAGGCATGAACTGCACCTAATTTACAATTATATCTCCAGTGCCTAGAACCTAAGACCAAAAGTGAGCATAATGTACAAACATGGTGGGCAATTATTGTGATGTCATGGAAAGATATTTGGAATCAGACAAGCCTTAGTGTCTATGTCCTTAGGCAAAATACTTAGCCTTCCTTTGCCTCAGTTTTGTCATGGGTATAATGAAGATAATATTCTATAAAGCTATCATGTGGATAAATAACTGACATAAAAAGGAAGATTACAGAATGCATTGTTATTGTTCAGTAAGTGGTAGCCTTTCTGTTGTGATCAAAAGTACATGTAGAAAAACCTCCCATGAAGAGGAATCCATTCTCCAGCCTGGCTACAGGAACTAAAGTTCCTGAGAATCCTTAAAGGAAGGGGACAAGCTGGCCAGGCGACAGGTTGGTTTTGAAAGAATGGAGGAGGGATATGCATCATTTTTCTACCTTCACTGGGTGTCCTGATACCACTCAGGCCTCTTGCTACAACATGAATGATGTCCAGAATTTCTCAGAGGGAATGGGTCCTCAATCAACCAGCTTCCCTGGTGCTGGGGAGGAGGGGGTTGTGAGATGAAGATGAGTGGGCAGGAAAATATAGAGCTATCAACAGTTCCTCAAATCAGTCATATAACTTGTGAAACTTAAGTAGAAATTTGTTTCTTTAACTGCAAATGTATTTTTAAAAGTCATTTGTTTTATCAAAGTATAAAATAAATGACCATAAAACTAAAAAAATTTGGATACAGGTCATGATTGTATGAGTTAAGAAAAACGATGGCGCTTTGTACCATGGACAGCTCCCGATAATGTTAATCCCACCTTGAACCTCCACTAACCTTCTGTTTCCCCATGCCCAGATCGGGGACCGTGTCATGGCATTTGTCAATTACAACGCCTGGGCCGAGGTGGTCTGCACACCAGTGGAGTTTGTCTACAAGATCCCAGAGGACATGAGCTTCTCCGAGGCTGCCGCATTCCCCATGAACTTCGTCACAGCCTACATGATGCTCTTTGAAGTTGCCAACCTCCGGGAAGGGATGTCTGTGCTCGTGCACTCGGCTGGTGGTGGCGTGGTGAGTTGACTGCTTGTGGTTTCTCTTCCTTAAGGTCACGGTGGTGCAAGTGGCATGGCACTTGCACGAAAAGGAGATTCTTACATGAGCTATGCCCATCAACAGGAGTCATCGCTATGGTTCTGATGGAGACCTCAGGGATGGCAGAGCCCACACAAAGGATTGCATTGGGGATAGGTGAGCCCAAGAGATGGTTTCTGTAGAGTTTAGGAGGGTCTCCAAGATGGCGTGCGAGGACACAGTGGCTCTCAGAGATGGTTTCTGTCAAGAAGGCATCTCAGTCTTGGTATCATGATGAAATGTTGCGTCTGTCATTGTGAGAAGCCTCACAAGCCATGGAATACCAATATTACTTAAAATGCCCAAATCCTGGATGACTTACTTTTTCAACAAATTGCAGTGGATACAAGATAGTTCCTATATGAATGACATTCTTATTCATTTGTGTTCTGATGTATTTTCTTGAGTGGGAGAAAGGTACTAGCACACTGAGAATTGCACATGAATCTAAATATACCCATTTGAGTGGTCACACATATCAAGGTTATCTGTCAAGTGTGTCTTTGCCAAGGGGGAAAATAATGGAAGTCAAAACTGCTCCTCTGGAGTTCATGGATGGTAGAAATTTCTTCCATGGTTTGGCTGTGCCTCAGTGCCAGTCATTCAATGCACATTGCATGCCTGCCACTTGGCAACCATTGTGTGCCTGTCACAGTCTGCTGGGGTTTGGATAGAACTCTAGTCTTTCTGAGAGTGGAAGACATTACTCACTAATTCAGTAAATATTTATTAAGCACTTTCCATATTCTAGACTCTAAGGATATAGAGATTAATAAGAAAAGGTCCTGACACACCATCTAATAGGGTTTGAGAGGTTCTCGGAGTAGGTGATCCTGTGGTTTGATTAACTCAGAAATGAAGTCTTACACTTGGGTATATCTCAGAAGTATTTTCGCTGGAGGTTTTGCTAACATTGATTTTTTTTTTAAATCTTGTCTTTCTACAACTATCAAAATCCTATGCAATGTAAAGCACATTTCATTATTTTTCCTTTCTAAGAAAACAAGCTCACATCCAAAACTATGAAGGCAAGGATATGAAACTTTAGGAATGCCTGAATAAGAATATCTTCAATCACTTTAGCAAATTTGCTGATGCCTTGTGACCATGAGTAAAGATATAATAAAAGCTAAACATCCCTTAGAAAAGAAATGGATTCCAGCCCCAGAAAATCTACTAACAGCAAGCCAGCCATTTAAAATGCTGGCATTTAGGACCTTAGCATGCTCAGTACAAAAAGCATTAAAAGACTTATTTTCATAATCTCAGCATACACTCTAGTCTTTACAATGATGCTGAACTCAGTTCTTCTGAGTGTATTTATACATTGGCACCTATGCTGTTTCATATCATGTTTTTAATTTTTTTTTTGGTCCCTGGAACAAAGAGGAATGTATCAGGGGCATGTGTCTCACAAAAGAGAAAAATAATCTCTGGAAATAACAGAAGTTTTTACCATACCTTACTCTGGGCTCACAGATCCTACCAGCAATAAGAATTATTAATAAAATACAAAATAGGTGAAGGAACTGGGGAAAAGGGATGGTGAGGCTAGGAAAGTTCTAAAGCTTTGCTGAAGATGTACAAAAATGTTGTCTGTTAGCTTCCTAATACTGAGTGAAGATAGGGGAAAATGATTATCCCTGTTCATTTGAGGGAAACAAAGCAGTTACTAGGGGAAACAGTAACTAGCAATGGCTTTTGAGACCAGAATATTTCTCTGTGGTTTCTCATAAGAAATGTGTGCTGAAATGCAATGAACCCCCTCAACAAAACTGTTACAGTGAATTCTGCTATTTCTATGTCCTTCCCTGTTAGAACTGGGTGACCCTCAAGAAGACAGTTGGCCACTACTGTTCTCATGGTGGGGGGAGGCCCCACTGGGAGCTTTTCTATGCATTCTCCGTGATACCCTAGAAAGGAACAGAGGTGCTTCCCATCTTCATTTGCCAAATCTGATAAGTGCAGCCACTGAATATGTTGTTGCTGTAGTAGGCAGGGTGGTGGCCCCACCGATGTCCACATCCAAATCCCTGGCACCTATGAGCACTTTACTTTAGATGGCAAAAGGAGTTTTACAGTTGTGATTAAGGTAAGGACCTTGCGATGCGGAGATTATTCTGGATTTTTCAGGTGGACATGGTGTAATCACAAGGGTCCTTAAAGCTGGAAGGTGGAAGCAGAAGTGTCAGAGAGAGAGATCTAAAGATGAGACGCTGCTGGCTCTGATGGTGGAGGGAGGGGCTGTGAGCCAAGGAACGCAGGAAGCTTCTAGATGCTGGAAGAGACGGGAAATGCAGTCTCCTCTGGAGCTTCCAGAAGGAACAGAGCCTGCTAAGACCTTGATGTTAGCCTAGTGAAATCCATTTTGGACTTCAGACCTCCAGAACTGTAACATTTAATAATCTGAGTTTGTGGTCACTGGTTATAGCACCAATAGGAAATTAATACCCCCACTTTCCCTGGGCTGTGTCTCTCCCTCCCTTTTCTTTGCAGAGAGCCCATAGAAGTCTAAAGAAAACTCAGGTAGCAAATTGCAGAACTAGGATTCGTACCCTAATCTGCCTCATTCCAAAAATCTATTCTCTTCTCACTCAACAACCCAGAAAAGCTGGGAGAACCCAAATCACTCATTCCTTCATTTAACACATATTTGTTCTACCTATGCTCAGTGTTTAAAAGAGCCAAAGGTCTGTGACCCATTTCCTAACTTGATGTTGATGAGATGACAAAGACGATAAAACCTAATTAGAATAAAGTTACCTTTTGTAAATATCGATTAGGTTTATATAAAGTGTGTGGTCCTATTTGGCACCAAGACTTCTGATTTTCATCAAAGGTTGGGATGGGGAATTTGCAGACGGCATGCGAGGGACACCAGTCTTAACTGTGATTTTAAGGAAACATAAATGTAGCAAAGGAAAATAATTCAATGCAGAGCAAGATACACTCTCATTGTTATTGCCCAAGTGCTTCCACTGCTCCGTCAGATCTTTGTAGACACTGTTTTCCTATGACAATAGCATGACCAGATGGGCCTGAGATGGTAATGCCCCTAATCAAATCTTTAAAATCTGGTTGAAAATTGGCTCACCATTCCTTATAGAGAAAGTAACAAAATTAAGCAATAGAGCAGAACTCACGTCAGGAACGGCAAGGGTTTCACTGTCAATCCCAGTTAACACGCCTTATCCATGAAGCTCCTGTGACTTTGAACATTTTTGTCTGGGGTAAGCTCAATTTCTGGACAGTGGCATTACTGTGACTATGAGGTTGTTTGCATTTGTGTCTGACATTTGATGCTTTCCGGGTCTTTTCCGGATCTTTTCCCTTTATGGTCCATGTCATCTGAACAGAGATTTCTGGAGACGGTGAGCACCATTCCCATTTGGCAGAAGCTAGTGGTTAGAGAAGTTGCAGTGATCATGAAAGTCTATGCCAGCAAGTGCCCCAAGCTTCCTAGTCCTGTTTGATGCTCTCACTGCTCCACTGCCCAGTCAGCCCCTTAGCACCAGACAGATGAGGGGGAGATGGCATGCGTCTCTCTCACATACCTCTTCGTAAAACATCTCTGGGAATGTACAAGATCAGCATCTTCCTCGCACCCTCCCTTCTAGCCACACTGGACATCTCACCCTTCTCAGAGCACCCCAGCCTCTTTGAACCTCTGTGCCTTTTCACATACTGTGTCTTCCTTCCAGAATGATCTTCTCTCTTAATTCTGATATCACCTCCTCTAAGAAGCCATCTTCTACTCCCTTGTCTGGGCAACCTTAGACCTTTCATAAAAGCTGTAGGATAATCCTCACAGTTTTTCATTTGTTTATGGGCTCATCCTCTGAGCAACATTTCATTGGCAGGGCTATTCTCCAGGGAAGGCAGGGTTGTGTGGTGGGAAGACGGGCAAACCTAAATCCCACCTTTCCCTTGGCCATTTATTAATAATAGCTGGGTGGCTTTGGTCAACTCAGTTTCTGTAAACTGGAAATAATAATGCCCACCTCATGGGAGGATTAAGCGAGAAACAAAGAGCTTAGCAGAATACTGACATGTAGTCTATAAATAGTAAGGAGAAAGAAAGAGAGAGATCTCTTTATATTCATAATACTGGGCACAACACCAGATACATAGGAAGGACTTAATGAATATTCATTGAATTACTTCTGGCTAAATATTTGATGCAGAAAAGATACTACTTCCATGTATACATTATACACAGACCCTGAGATGATTGATACAATGAGACGGCACTTCAGCTTCATGACATTCTTCCCCAAAACGTATGACCCCAATTTAATCATCATAAAACACTATACAAGCCCAAATTGAGAGAAATTCTATAAAATACTCCAGGACTTCAGGATGCCTCAAAACCATCAAGGAAATGAAAACCAAAGAGAGACTGAAAAACTCTCGCAGATCAGAAGAGACAAAAGAGCCGTGACAAATAAATGCAATGCGATCCCCTGGACTGAATGAATCCTAAACAGAAAAAAGGACGTGAATGGAAAACTGATGGAATCCATATAAAGTCTATGGTTTAGTTAATAGTCCAGTGCTGGTGTCAATTCTTCGGTTTTGATAAGTGGACCATAGCAATGCATAACGTTGACATTAAGAAAATTGGGGCAAAATGTATATGGGATGTCTCTGTATCGTCTTTTCAACTTTTCTCTGTAAAACTAAAAATTGTTCCAAGATACACAGTTGGAAAGAAAAACGGGCAGACACTATCTATCCAAAGGAGTCCCCTCAGGCAAAAGAATTTTCAAATTCTTCCCCTCCACTTCGGCATATTCTCCATCCCTGCCATGGCGTGGTCTTAGTTTTAGGATATTTTAGAGACAACCTAAAGACAGCTGGCTGTTCTTCTGGTCTGGCCCCAGTTGCAAACCAGGGGCCGGGGCTGGGTGAAGCATCTCTGAATCTCCACCGGGCTC